GGGGGGGCGGCGGCTGCGGCGGCCCGGGCGGCGGCGGCGGCGGCGGCGGCGGTGGCGGGGGGGCGACGATCGCCGCCCGCCAACGCCATCGAGAAAGAGCGAGTCGAAAAACAGACAAAAAAAGAAAGTGTGGTTCTGCTTCTCACGAGTCTGTTCGAAGGATGCGATAACTAACAAGATGAGGAGGGCGTTCAAAATATTGTAGATTCACGTTTTCGTGGTTTGGTTTTGGGCAGGGCGAATGTAACGACAAGAGCAGCGCGCCGTGTTGGGGCAGACGGTGGCGGGTAGAAGAGGCGGTCAAGGATCAAGAACGCCTCGCGGCGCGGAAAACCGCCGTCGAGGAGGGAGAACGAGGCACAGCAGCAGCCGTGGCACAGAGAGACAAGCCGCGAAACACCGCACTGTACCTCTACAACGATCACCACCAAGTGCGAACACAGACCAAGGGCACGGCGGCGGCGGCGGCGGCTACAGCTGCTTGGGGTGCGGAAGAACGAGGCATCACTTAAGGAATCGGTAGTTGAGAAAATTGACCTCAACCTGACACACGAACCAGAGACAGCCACAACAAACGCGACGGCAACAACATCGTTCAAAAACACCACAAAATAACAAGACACCAAAATTCCCCCCCAACAACAAGCAACGAGCGTGTGGTGCGCCACGCCCCGTGCAATGAAACAAGACATGTACCCTCTCGCCCACGCACGGGGTTCACCTGCTTGTCGAACAACCCGGACTGCTTTCGGATGCACCCGAAAGAGAGCTTCGGCCAGTCATAGCCACCATTCCCTTCGCCCCCTCCGTCCTCCTCCGAGAGCTCCTCACCCCCCAGCCTCAATACATCTACCATCTGCGCCCCCCCCCCCCCGTACAGCCAGCAGCAGCCCGGGTGGAGACGGATGACAAGTTGGCGGGAGAGGGGTGAGTTGGGCAGGCGTCGTCGGGAAACAAACTCAAAAAATCTCCAATTCTCAAGCCCGAAACACGAACAAACGGGACGGAGATATGTAGGTAGATGGTACAAGCACGCGGTGCTGGGACGTTTCGCGCCAACCAGGAGGCAGAGACGGAGTAGCACACATGAGAGAGTGAATTGGAGGCAACGCAGACAGGTGAGCGAAGGGACCAGCGCCGTGGAATATTATTTTTGTCTCCGGAGTCTCGCGTGAACTTTCAAAATCTGTCTAGGGGGGGTGCCATCTCTCCGCCTCTTGCGGTACCACTCTCTAAGGCGCCATTTCGATCTCCAAACTTGTATCGTGGTGGTCTTCATATTCTCTTAAAAAAATAGTCGTAAATCAGGTGAGAGCTCGCCAGCGGACCGGGCCCCCAAGCGTCGCTGGTCGTTGTCGGAAACAAAGAACAAGGGTATTCGTTTGCGTGCAAGAGGCGAAATCGACGCTCACTCAAGAACGCGACTTTCCGTGTCCTGGCAGCATGTACGTAGCGATTTCTGGTAGCATGTACGTAGGAGGGCGCACACCGTCCCGCCTTGCCTCCATCATGACATGACGCAACCTGCCTCCCCCCCCCCTCCCTTCTACCCTCAAGCAAGCGCAACAGACAGCAGAACCAACCTCGGCAAAAAAACGAGCCTTCTTGCAACAAGCTCACGGGAGAAATAATGGCGCCTCTGGCCCGAAACGCAACAGTTGGTGGCACTGCGTACTGTAGCAAGAAACACCGTTCCTGTCACTGTGGTAACCGTGGTGCTCCACACGAATCGACTGATGTGCACCTCGAGCCAAAGTCCTCAAGGCCGACGCATCCAAGAAAGCGCTTGATCGCAAGTCCCCCCCACCTCCCCTTCCCGCCAAAACAAACAGATTACTCATGGATGGTCTGGTACGTCAAGCGAGAACGATGTGGATACGTGGATACACAAAGACAACGGGCG